TATATATATTCTATAAAGCATTTTATTTGCAAAGCAGAAAGTTTTGTGAATCTAGTACAACCACCACTGAGTTTCACCACAGGCATTGTTTCATGTTCGTGTTTCTTTGATTGCTTCTGAGGTTTTATAAATAAAAAATGCTATTCTTTGTGTTTGGACCATTTACCCATGCAGTCCTCTGAATAGTGAATAAAACATTATGTGTTTTATTGTTGTTTTCCAAGATAGGTTTCTTTAAAAGGATGTGTTCAATTACATTGAGGTCCATCGTGTGAAGAGTGTTGTATTCTCTGCTGAGATGTGGACAAAGTTGTGCGAATGAAACGTAATATTTCATCAGAAGATGTGAAAATGCTTTTGCTTTATTTAAAAACCTTTTATTAATTCCTATGCTTTGTTTCCTTAAGGGTGCTATAATTTCAGTAGCCATTAAATAAATGTCTGCTTGAAATGGGTCCCTTGTGGCTTGAATGGACCCACTGTTCTTTTCTTTTCTGCTCTGCAGCAAACAGCCTTAAAAAAGTCACAGTCTGGTGAATTTAATAGCACTTTTAGCAGCTAACAATACAACTTTTTCCCTCTTAAAGATGCATAAAAGCAACCCCAGTTATAGCAATCATCTTCATTATGAAATACAAACACACAAAATAAAATTTTGTTCAGGGAATATAACATAAAAACATTTTTCATGTTGATTCTGTCATTTAAATAATGCAAAAYGGTAATTTATGGCACAATGTAAGATTTTTTTTTTTATTCAGAACAAGATCTTTGTAAACTTCTCACAGGAGTTTACTATAACTGAACCGATTTTAGCAAACACTACTTCGAGTACTGAAGCCCTTCACACACGCTGCCTTCAAAATGAAGCATTGATTGCAGAWTAACATTAAACAAACAAGCTTACTTTTTTGCTGCTGTAAGTGTTACTTGTTAGTGTGTACACATTTCAAGGCAGGGAAATACAAGCTGAATATAAACTGCATGCTGTATGCTATTACAACTCAATTAAATAAAGCAGCTAAATGTTTCTTGAAGAAACATTAGGTCARATAAGGTGACTTGCAAAAGAGGAACAAGTTGATTTTATTCCACCAACATCACATTTATCACTTTGCTTGGTGTTCGACTTGTTCCATCCTCGGTCAAACTCATTAATGGTACACAAAATATCAATATGTCTAACTCAGTTTGATAAGTTAGTCTCARCTTAAAGAAGGTTCAATCAGCATCAGTGCCTGCTACGGTTATTGGCAAAGATGAAAGGAAATCAATATCATTGCTTAATTTGCAATTGGCTCTCAGTTATAATATGCAAACGGGTCATTTATTTAATAATGCTTTCTTGATTGTGATCAAGTAAGTAATAATGAGAAATGTTTCCACACGTACTTTTATAGGCTGTAATTGGACATTTTATGTTGTYATGTGTTTTCATATCGTAGTAGAATTGAGATTTTAGTATTCTATTTTAGTTATGTGTTGTTGTTTTCTTGTAACTTTTTTTAATTGTCTCTCTGCTCATTATCTCCATCGGCTTTCCTCGTTCCAGCTTGTGACACGGATGCCCCTCACCTGTCAATCAGCTCATCCCCAGCTGGTCCCTGAGTTCTTGGCTAAATTGTCAGATCTTACTGTTAATGTCCCTGTTTGCCCTGCTTGTGCGGTCTGCTTTGTTTATTTTTAAGGCTCCATGTAGAATTTTATTTTATTTTATTTTATTTTTTTTTAGATTTATGCCCTTGTGTGCATTTTTTGGGACTTAACAAATTCTAAACCACTATATTTTTGCAGATTTCTTCAGCCAATAGTCTGATTAGATTAGATAGATTAGATTAGATTAGATTAGATTAGACCTTTATTGTCATTGCACAGAGCACAATGAAATTACAGTTCAGAACACCCATTCAGAAGAAGACAGACCATAACAAACATAGGAGAACAGGCGCTCTGGGTCATGCAGCCACTGACCCTGCACAAAGCAAGGATCATCATCATGAAAAAATTATGAGGTGGCGTAACCCTTAACAGAAAAACTAAAACATATTATATCAACAATGTGACACAATGGTGTTTATAAAAATTACAGTTATTTTGCTATGACAACGTACCATAT